TTTTTTTTTTTTTTTTTTTTTAGTCGGAGTTTCACTCTGCTGCCCAGGCTGGAGTGCAGTGGCATGCTCACAGCCACTGTAGCCTCAACTTGCTAGTCTCAAGTGATCCTTCTGCCTCAAGCCTTCAAGTAGCTGGAACCAGAGATGTGTGCCACCACGCCCAGCTAATTGATTTTCTGTAGAGACGAGGTCTTGCCAAATTGCCCAGTCTCGTCTCAAAGCTCTAGACTCAAGCAATTCTCTCACCTCCGCCTCCCAAAGTGCCGGGATTACAGGCATGAGCCACCACATTCAGCATAAAGGTTGATTTTAAGGAGAAAGAATTTACATGAATACAGTATTTTCCATGCTGCCTGATTTATTGTTATACTTTGACATTTCAAGTAAAGAATAAGACAAAATAAAACCCCCCAAAAAAGAACTTTGCCTCCAGAAGACATTATATCCACAAACAAAGCATTTCTAAAAAATGTTTTGCTTGACATAATAACCATTTATGGCTTAATAGTGCAGATTTCATTTCTTGGAGATGTCAGCTTCACCCACAAGCTAAACCAAACGTGTCCAAACAAGGTTCCTTCACATATATAAAGAACACCTAAAATATGATTAATTAGCAAATAAGCTGCCTCAGGCAAAGAACAAAGCATTAAAAAAAAAAAAGAATTCCAGGCAATGGAGATTTTTTTTCCCCTGCTGGATTTAAAAATATCAGCAGTCTGTAAACAACCAAAATTTATAAACTAGATGTCAACTTCAAAGTTATTTTTTCTATAGCCTGTTCAGTTTTTGCTCTGGGATTTCTGCCCATTTTCTGAAATTTAACAGCAAGCTGATACAATGGGACAATTTGAAGCCAACTTACCAGAACCAAACAAAACATTACCTGTTGCATTTTCTTGTATTCACCCACTCTGGCATAGGCCATGAAGAGGTGAGAGTGATACTCCTCACTATTGGGAACTTTCTTCACAGCTGCCTCATAAAGTTTTGTAACTAATTCCGCTAAAATAAAAAGAAATAAGATTTAAATTATACTTCAATAATTAAAGAAAAATCTAATGACATTTAATTTTCTTCCTATTTGGTGGAAAAGTATTTGCTTTCTCCCGCCTATCATTACCTTCTCTTGGTGAGATGCTGTTTGGATGAAGATCAGGCCTCCTCATCACATTTACAACATACAAGACCTTCTAGGATCTGGCCTCCTAATTCTTTCCCTCAGCACTGTATCCTCTAGCCATACTGTAGTTCCACCAAATTCCCTGTGTTGCATCACACACACCCCTATACTTTTACACTGTTCCCTCTACCTAGATTCTCTCTTCCTCTCTTTTTCTACTCAATAAACATCATCTAACACCCAGTTCAAATGTAATCCTTGCTGAGCATGGTGGCTTATACCTATAATCCAAGTACTTTGGGAGGCGGAGGGGAGAGGATTGCCTGAGCCCTGGGGTTTGAGACCAGCCTGGGCAACATGGCAAGATCTCATCTCTACAATAAATCACAAGACTAGCCAGGTGTGGTGGCGCATGCCTGTAGTTCCAGTTACTTGGAAGGCTGAGGCAGAAGGATCACCTGAGCCCAGCAGGCCGAGGCTGTGGTAGCTGTGATCATGCCAATGTATTCCAGCCTAGGTAACAGAGTGAGACTCCAACTCAAAAAAAACTAAAAACAAATGCAGTCCTTACTGCAAGACTTTCCCTGAACATAATCTCTGCTCCTACACTCCAATTTGATCACTGTTTCCCTCTGTGATCTTGAAAGCTTTTCTATTAATCTATCTCCCCTCACAGACTATCAGTTACATAAGGGCAAAAAGAGCATCCTTCATCTTTGACTCTGATAGACTACTTTTCATAGAGAAACAATAAATGATTTTTTTTTTAATCAGGTTCTCACTCTTGTCACCCAGGCTGGAGCGCAGTGGCATGCTTACGGTTCACAACAGCCTCAACCTCCTGGGTTCAGGTGATCCTTTAGGCCTCAGCCTCCCGAATAACTGGTTTACAGGCACACACCACCACTGTGCTCAGCTAATTTTTTTGATTAATAAATGATTATTTTTTAAATGCTGGGAAGCCATATCCCTAAATTAATAAAATCTCGAAATATTCAAATACAATACCCCAACTCTTAAGTTTTATCTTTTGTAAGAATTAAAAACAAGACTGTACTATAAAATAACATTTTCTGTACACTAGATTGGCAAAAATATTAAAGGATATGAATATCAAGTGTTGACAAGGAAACAGAGCAACTGAAATTCATTCGAGTGGACTGCCTAAGCCCGCGGGTTCGAAACCAGGCCGGCAACTTAACGAGACCTAGTCTCTACAGTAAAATAAAAAATAGCTGGGCGTGGTAGCATGCGTCTGTAGCTCTGGCTACTCAGAAGGTTGAGGCGGAAGGATCACTGGAGCCCAAAAGGTCAACGCTAGGGTGGCCGTGAGCATGCATGCCACTGCACTCCAGTCTGGGCGAAGGAGTGAGACTCCAATTTAAAAAAATAATAATAATAAATTCATAAATTTCTGGTATATTTAGAAAATAAGTTGATATTATCTTTCTTTAAGCTAAATATACACTTACCCTATGACCCAACGATTCCACTCCTTAATATTGTAATGTATAACCCAATGATATATTCTGTGGCAGTGAAAATAAATTAATCCACTTGGATATTAGATTCATATAGTACAAATTCACTTACATGAAGTTCAAAATTAAGCAAAAGTAATAATATATTACTAAAAGAAAAAAATGTGATAAATATTAAAAGGCAAGAGAAAAAATATTCAGGATAGCAGTACTTCTTGGGAGGTCAAAGGGTAACTGCGATTGATTGAGAACATAACACAGATAGCCTTCTTAGTGTTGGTTTTTTTTTGAGTCAGAGTCTTTCTCTGTTGCCAAGGCTGGAATGCACGCTCGCAGCCACCGCAGCTTTGACCTGCTGGGGTCAGGTAATCCTTCTCCCTTAGCCTTCCAAGTAGCTGGAACCACAGGCGCACACCTCCACGCCAAGCAAATTTTTTCATTTACTGTAGACACAAGGACTCACCAAGTTGCCCAGGCTGGTCTCCAACTTCAGACAATCCTCTCACCTCGGCCTCCCAAAGTACTGAAATTACAGGCTTGAGTCACTGCTCCCAGCCCCTTAGTGTTGATAATTCTCAAGGTAGATGGCAGGTTGATGAGGGTCCAAATTTACTGGTATATTACACAAACTATATTCTTTCATAATATGTATTATGAAAAATATGTATTTCATAATTACATATTTAAGGAATCAACAATAAAAACCTTTATTTACAGATGAAATGATGGACTATTTAGAATATTATCTGAAATAATCTGGCAGGGGAAGGAGTATAGACAAAATAAAACTGGCCTTGTGCTAATAATTGCTGAAGGTGGGCTTGGAGCAGTGGCTCACACCTGTAATCCCAATATTTTGGGAGGCTGAGGCAAGAGGATTACCTGAGCTCAGAGGTTCAGGACCAGCCTGAGCAACATGGCAAGACCTCATCTCTACAATAAATCAAAAAAGCAGCCAGGCATAGTGGCGCATGCCTGCGGTTCCAGTTACTTGGAAGGCTGAGGTAGAAGGATCGCCTGAGTCCAACAGGTTGAGGCTGCAGTGGCCGTGAGCATGCCAACGCACTCCAGCCTGAGTGACAGAGACTTCAACTAAAAAAAAAAGAAAGAAAGAAACATACGTCGATGCATCTCCCGATAAAGGATAGTTAGTGCCTGCAATGAGTTATCATCTGTGGGCTCAAGGGCTGCCACCTCCTGTGCCAAAGTGAAGGCTTCCTCTTGCTTTCCAGTTCTCTGTAAGCCAATTGCCTTTAAAACCTGATAGAAAGGAAAGAAAAAACAGTTTTTAAAGGATAGAAAAGTAAATATGGCCCAAAGAAAGCCAATCCAGAAGTCCCAGATGTAAGGTATGCCTAGGTGTTGCTGATATAATAAACCTATCTTGCTGGGTGTGGTGGCTCGTGCCTACAATCCCAGCACTTTGGGAGATGAAGGTGAGAGGACTGCCTGAACCTAGGAATTTGAGACCTCCTGGGCCTCTTGGTGATACCTCATCTCTACAATAAATCAAAAAATTAGCTAGGAGAGGTGGCGCACACCTGTAGTTCCAGCTACCTGGAAGACTGAGGTGGAAGACCACCTGAGCCTAGCAGGTCGAGGCTGCAGTAGCCATGAGCATGCCACTGCACTACAGCATGGGTGACAAAATGAGACTCCAACTCAAATAAGTAAATAAATAAACCTATTTTACCAAAAATATAAGCAAATCATAATGCTTTCCTATTTCAGTCCTAACAGTCTATAATATTGCTTAAAAGAACCCTGTGTGGCTGGGCTCGGTGGCTTAGCCCATAATCCTAGCATTTTGGGAGACTGAGGGGAGTAGACTGCCTGAACCCATGGGTTTGAGACCAGCCTGGGCAACTTGGTGAGACATCATCTCTACAATAAATCAAAAATTAGCTGGGAGTGGTAGCACGCGCTTGTAAGTTCCAGCTACTTAGAAGGCTGAGGCGGAAGGATCGCCAGAGTCCAGCAGGTTGACGCTGGGGGTGGCCATGAGTGTGTCACTGCACTCCAGCCTGGGCAACAAAGTGAGACTCCAACTCAAATAAAAAAAAAAAAAAAAGGACCCTGTGAAAATAAAATAAATTAGACAAGTAATATTCAAAGAAATAAACAGCTACTTTTTAATTAAATACGATTTCTAGCATATAAATATCAGGAAAATAAATGGCCTACAAGTACTCTGAATAAAACATAAATTATCATTAAGAGATTAATCATCGCCAGGTGCAGTGGCTCAAGCCTGTAATCCCAACACTTGGGAAGCCAAGGTGAGGGGACTGCCTGAGCCCACAGAGTCGAGAACAGCCTGGGCAACTTGGCAAGACCTCATCTCTATAATAAATGAAAAAATTAGCCGGGCGTGGTAGCAGTGCCTTGGTTCCAGCTGCTTGGAAGGTTAAGGCAGAAGGATTGTCTGAGCCCAGCAGGTCAACTCTGGGGTGGCCGTGAGCGTGCCACTGAATCCCAGCCTGGGCAATGGAGTGAGACGCCATCAAAAAAAAAAAAAAAGATTAAACATCCTTTCCCTTTAAGATAAATCATTATAAATATAACCCACCAAATATAAATATAAGCCAAGGGCAGATGAACTTGCCTTAGCACAATGAAGATCCTTATGTTTCTTCAACAGTTTATCTGCTTGCTGAATTGCCATTTTATTATTACCATTATCAAGATAATCTGCGAAAAAGAAATTATATGAGTTTTTAGATTCTTCATCAGCACATGAAAAATGTATCAGTTAGTATTAGATGTTTCAGAAAGTATCTTAATTTGCTATTAAAGATATCATGGAGCTGATTTTAACTCTAAATGAGTAGGATGGTCCAGAATACAGGATATATCCCTATGGTCTTCTCTTATTCAAGAGCAATATAATCAGGTTATATTAGTTCTTAATAAAGATTCAAGATTATACATATTCAAATGATATTAATATTTTTATCTAAGGAAAATTAATGAGTTTGGTCACCAAAATCTTACAATATTTTAAAACTTAAAATAAAAACAGGCCGGGTGTAGTGGCTCACGCCTATAATCCCAGCACTTTGGGAGGCCAAGGTGAGAGGATTGCCTGAGCCCCCGGGTTCGAGACGAGCCTGGGCAACTTGGCAAGACCTCATCTCTACAATAAATCAAAAAATGAGCCGGGTGTGGTGGCAGTGCCTGTAGTTTCAGCTACTTGGAAGGCTAAGACAGAAGGATCACCTGAGCCCAGCAGGTCGAGGCTGCTGCGGCGGCCATGGGCAGGCCACTGCACTCCAGCCTGGGCGAGAGGGTAAGAATCTGACTCAAAAAAAAAGAGGCCATGCACTATGGCTCACGCCTATAACCCCAGCACTTTGGGAGGTCGATGTGAAAGGACTGTCTGAGCCCACAGGTTTGAGACTAGCCTGGGCAACTTGGTGAGACCTCATCTCTACAATAAATCAAAAAATTAGCCAGCCGTGGTAGTGTACCTATAGTTCCAGCTACTTGGAAGGCTGAGGCAGAAGGATTGCCTGGGCCCAGCAGGCTGAGGCTGAGGTGGCCGTTAAGTGTGCCACTGCACTCCTGTCTGGGTGACAGAGTGAGATTCCAACTCAAAAAAAAGGCAGTATCTCCTTCTTTCTTAAGGCTCAATAATATTCCATTTTGTACATAAGTGTGTGTATATAATATTCCATTGTGTACGTGTGTGTGTGTATGTGTGTGTGTGTGTATAAAATTTCTTTATCCATTCATTGTCAGTGGACAGCTAGGTTATTTCCATGTTTTGGCTTTTGTGAATAACGCTGCAATGAACACAGAGACACAGATATCTCTAAAATGTGCTGATGTAATTTCCTTTGCATATATACCCAGGAGTGAGATTGCTGGATCATATAATAGTTCTATTTTCAATTTTAATTTAATACTGCTTTCCACAATGGCTGCGCCAATTTACATTACCACCAAAGTTATACAAGGGTTCCCTTTTCTCCAATTGTTTCTCTCTCTGTTTTTTTTTTTATTTGTTTCTATATCTTTGACTCGTTTTAGAATCCATAGGTAAGTGAGATCACATAGTATTTTCTTTCTTTGTCTGGCGCTGTTGCCCAGGTTGGAGTGGAGTGGCATGCTCACAGCCACTGCAGCCTTGACCTGCTAGGTTCAGGCAATCCTTCCAACACAGCCTTCCAAGTAGTTGGAACTACAGGCATGCACCACCACACCCAGCTATGTATTTATTTATTTATTTATTATTTGTAGAGATGAGGTCTCTCCAAGTTGCTCAGGCTGGTCTTGACTCAGTGGGCTCAGACAATCCTCTCACCTCTCCTCCCAAAGTGCTGGGATTAGAGGTGTGAGCCACCACCTCTGCCTAATTGTTTCTCTGGTCTTTTTGGTAACAACTATCCTAACAGGTATGAGTTGACATCTCATTGTGATTTTAATTTGCATTTTCCTAATGTTTAGTGACATTGAGCACCTTTTCATATACCTGTTGGTCATTTTTATGCCTTTTTTTTTTTAAGTCTATTTAGGCCCTTAGCCTATTTTTTTAATTGGGTTTTTTGGTCTGTTTTTAGGTTTTTGAGGGTTTTTTTTTAACATTTTGCTATTGAATTGTGTGATTCATTCCAAATTTTAGGAACAGGGAGAACCATTCTAAAACTGTGTTAAGGAAAAAAAATAATCATTATTCAAAAGCCTAACAAAAGCAAAGATTCATTTCCAGATCAGAAGATCTGTAAGAAAATGAGAAGTATTTTCAATGGGAAACAGGGAGGTAGTTGTTAATTCCAAATATAAGAAGACTGGGCTCAGTAGCTCAGCCTGTAATCCCAGCACTTTAGGAGGCCAAGGCAAATGGACTGCCTAAGCCCACGGGTTAGAGCCCAGCCCAGGCAAGTTAGTGAGACCTCATCTCTACAATAAACCCAAAAAATTAGGCAGGCGCAGTAGTGTGTGCCTGTAGTTTCAGCTACTTGGAAGACTGAGGCGGAAGGATCGCCGGAGCCCAGCAGGTCGAGGCTGCGGTGGCTGGGAGCGGCCACTGCACTCCAGTCTGGGCGACAGAGTGAGACTCTAATTCAGAAAAATAAAAAATAAAAATAAAAACATTAAAAAATAATAATGCCCAAAGGTGCCTGAACAATGCATATTTGTATACCTAACCCTTAACTGTACCCCACAATTTTAAAATAAAAAAGACATTTAAAAAATAAATTAATAATAATAATGCCAGTTGTTAATAAGGGAAACCATGGGAGGGGGTGAGGGAGTATATGGGAACTCTCCGTACTTTCTACTCACTTTCTGTGAACCTAAAACTGCTCTAAAAATAAAGTCTATTTAAAAATTTTTTAATAACAAAAGCTAAGATTCATTTTCAGAGAGGAAAAATGAGAAAAGTGCTATAAATAGGAAACAGTACAATAGCTGTCAATTCTAAATATACAAAGATGACCGAACACAGCCCAATTCACAACCCAGTACCACTACCAGATGACTCTTTGTTCATCAAGGTCCTAAATCAGTCAGGCATGGTCAAAATAATCTATGACCCTGATATATAATTTTACCATATAGTTTAAATTTTTTTCCAATGAACACGTCACTAAAATTTTTTTTTTAATGTTGAAAGAAATCAGCTGAGGCAAGGTGGGCCGGAGTTGGGGCTGCGGGAATAATGCAAGATTGCAACCAAGTAAGAAAGTAGAAGTCAGGCTCGATGGCTCAGCCTGTAATCCCGTGCCTTTGGGAGGCTGAGGTGAGTGGATTGCCTGAGCCCGCGGGTTCAAGACCCGCCTGGGCAACTTGGCGAGACCTCATCTCTACAATAAATCAAAATGAGCCAAGCGTGGTAGTGTGTGCCTGTAGTTTCAGCTACTTGGAAGGCTGAGGCGGAAGGATCGCTGGAGGCCAGCAGGTCAAGGCTGCGGTGGCTGGGAGCAGCCAGTGCACTCCAGTCTGGGTGACAGAGTGAGACTCCAACTCAAAAAAAAAAAAAAAGTAGAAAGAAGTAAAGTTTATTATCTACCTTTCCCAGATTGGAAAGGGGGCTGACACTCAGAGGCAAGTGAGGCCCTCTAAAACTTTTAACAGTCACATGAAAAGCATGCACAATACGGATGAGCACCAATAATGCTAGGTAAAAAGATAAGAAGCCTTACTCTGTGAGGAACCACACTTTTGAAAGGAAGGTCAAAGACCTAATACTCAAGTAAAGGGTTTGGTAAAACACAGAACTCTAAAAGCAGTCTTGGCCTAAATACCCAAATATCTAATACTACTTTTCTTAGATTCTTAACTCAGCTGACAGGCCATCATTTGTCCTTACAGAATATCTGACATGCCTGGGCACGGTGGCTCATGCCTGTAATCCCAGCACTTTGGGAGGCAGAGGCAAGAGGACTGCCTGAGCCCACAGGTTTGAGACCAGCCTGGGCAACATGGCAAGACTATTATGTCTCTACAATAAATTTTTTAAAAATTAGCTGGGCGTGGTGGTACATGCCTGTGGTTCCGGCTACTTGGAAGGCTGAGGTGGAAGGATCACCTAAGCCAAGCAGGTCAAGTCTGCGGTGGCTGTGAGCATGCTACTGCATTCCAGCCTGGGTGACAGAGTGAAACTCTATTCAAAAAAAAAAAAAAAGGCCAGGTGTGGTGGCTCACATCTGTAATCCCAGCACTTTGGGAGTACGAGGTGAGAAGATTGCCTGAGTCCACGGGTTCCAGACCAGCCTGGGTAATTTGGTGAGACCTCATCTCTACAATAAATCAAAAAATTAGTCAGGCATGGTGGCAATGCCTGTAGTTCCAGCTACTTGGAAGGCTGAGGCAGAAGGATCACCTGAGCCCAGCAGGTCGAGGCTGCTGTGGCAGCCATGGGCATGCCACTGCACTCCAGCCTGGGTCACAGGGTAAGAATCTGACTCAAAAAAAAAAGAGGCCATGCACTATGGCTCACGCCTATAATCCCAGCACTTTGGGAGGCCGATGTGAGAGGACAGTCTGAGCCCACAGGTTGAGACTAGCCTGGGCAACTTGGTGAGACTTCATCTCTACAATAAATCAAAAAATTAGCCAGGCGTGGTAGTGTACCTAGAGTTCCAGCAACTTGGAAGGCTGAGGTGGAAGGATTGCCTGAGCCCAGCAGGTCGAGGGTGCAGTGGCCATGAGCATGCCACTGCACTCCAGCCTGGGCAACAGAGTGAGACTCCAACTCAAAAAAAATTTTAAAAAAGAATATATGACAGAGATCAACCTGCTCAATAAATGACACTCCAAAATAAAAACTAAATTAAATTTTAAAATGAAAAGCATAAATGACACCCTCTCTTTCTAATACTTGATGCCAATCTCATTCTAAGTCCATTCTAAGTTACTGCTGACTCGGTTCTACAGGGTTCCAGGGTTCTAGACTATATCTTGAAGCCTTCTCAAAGAATAGACATCTCTGTTGAGACCCAACTTTGAGGGGCTACCCATAAATGGATAAAAGCAGAGGTCAAGGCTGTAAGGATATTTTCCTTTTGCCTGTATAGTTCACAAGGTTCTATTATACCATACCTATTTGCCCATGCCATCTTCTCTGGGAATGGTTTCCACTGCCACCACTGCCACCACTGCCCCGTTGAAGGGATAGGACTAGATGACCATTTCTAGACTATATAACTGCAGCCCACTCCAGGGTGAACTTTTGACCCAAGTTG